CTTTAATGACACATGTAAAGAAAGACCTTCAATGGTCTACCTATTATAGTAATCATATAACAGTATGATAAACAGAATATTAAATAGACAATGTATAAGCATAACTAGTAAACCATTATCAAATACTGTACTTCCCCTGTTCAAGTGAATAAGCCCACCCATTATTTTTAGACATTATAATGAGTAGAGGACATCCTTGGTTATATGCCAAGTTTGTTCTTACCAGGCATTTACAATGGATTTAATCATAGAACTTTGTAGTTCTATGGGTTAATCTTAAAAATAAAAATATTGTTTATTAAAATATACATGTAAAAGATCTGTTAAATTGCATGAAAATCGGAAAAGAGCTGTTTGGTTCATTCTTTGACAAGAAAAAATATCGTAAATTTTAGATGCATGGGACACAACGCAACATGTTTGTACCCTTTCGTTCTGTTATTACTCACAATTAGAGCAATGTTGTAATATTGGAGTACTGTAAAATTTGTATTAGAAGCCGCATCCCTAATAGAAGTCGCACCCATTCTTTTTGAATAATTGAGAACCACAAATTCACATATGTATAGATGCTCTAATAGAAGCCGCATCCCCTGTGTTGTATTGTACCATTTTAATAGAAGCCGCAGCTTCTAATACAGATTTTACAGTAATACATATCTCTGAGTGATTCGAAGTCGATAGCTTTCAAAATATGCTTTAACGAGACTTGCTGACACCATGAAAAGTGTTAAATACTTCCTTTGATTAACATGGCCACCAGTCAGCCATTTTGAATCTAATCTATAAAATAAAATGTTGTGCATCAAGGTCTCATAATGTCCAATGTATGAACCAAGTTTGAACAAAATCCATAGGTAAACAGCCAAGCTTAGATCCGGAATGCCAGAAATACATGATTTTGATAATTTTTCAGAAGAAAAATGGCCACCATTTGGCCATCTTGAATCAGGTCGTGAAACAAATTGATGTGCATACATGTGTATGAATAATATTATATATGATGTATGTGTGAAGTTTTAATGAATGTAACGCACAGATGCACAGATGTACGTTGTTTCAGGTCAAATCCTGCAGAAACAACATCATGGCAGAAATTGCTATGCATCAGGAGTTTGTGAACAATCAAAAGCTTTCGACAACAAAGATATTGCTGGACATTTTGTCTTTGACTTTTCCCCACAGATCCCACGAATTTCCACTGTAAATTCAGAGATAATATCAAAGTTAAACTGTAAATAGCTCCCGTGTGATCAGAGCATGTATTATAAAGGTATAGGCTTTGCCTAATAAGTGAATGTAATTTCATGTAGGTCAATTCATCAATAAAATTGATCAAGATGTCTGAGAATCTATGACATACTGTATATGGAAACACATGATTTTGATATGGGCATTTTGAAAAACAAGATGTAATATAATTAGTGTCATTAGCGATGGAGTAGTAAAAAACGCAATTAACTTCAGTGCAGCAAATCAGGATAGATCTTCCTGACGCAATGGGCAAATTTCGCTATTTTCGCTGACAAGTAAAATCTGCTAAATTAAACCTACGTGAAAATGCAAAGTAACAACAGATTGTTTCCTTGACAGATTCTTGAAATTAAATCATCAAAATAGTACAAGTAAAAAGTCTGTAAACATACCTAGAACAGATAAATAAAAACATCGTAGTTTAATGTTCGTCCGGACTTTGAGCCCTTGAAAGTAAGTGATCCAGCCCTTACATATGCCAACGATTGAAATTTGTTTAATTGCTATCAAATTATCGCTCAAAAAAAAAATATTTCATTTGTGAGACATGCTTTTGATACAAACCGAAGATCGTGATCGACCCTACACAAAACTACCGCCATTTTGTCTTCCTTGTACTCATTCGGCAAAAACAAAAAACTTACATATTTACTATTTGTTTAATGAGTGCATTTTTGTTTAAAAATATCAAACAAGAATAAACACTAAGTAAAATAGGAATCAACTGCTTCGTTTTATTTGAGTAAGATAGAAACCATGCGAAAACAATAGTAGTGAAACCAAATAGTAGTGATCACTGTGATTATTATATAAATTTCCTGCAAAGTCTGGAACGATACTGAAAAAAATTCATTCATTTCCTTCTATTATTCATGCTTGAAAGTAGGCCGAAGTATCCGCAGGTGAATACGAGTATCCAGATAATAAGTTAGGATTGATCAGTTCACACGAATTGTTCATGAATTGTTCATTGCAAAACAATGACCTGGAAACGGCCCAGCTTTAGGGAAACAGTATCGCGGAAAGAAAGAACAGTATCGTGGAAAGAGAGAACAGTATCGGACCCAATACCCTTAAAAGACCTGATGAAAACACTGCAGAATCGCGGGCGAAACGAAAGTTACGCTGCTATTGTCTAAGCGACGCAGGCCCGAGGAGAACACTGTACATGTAACCAGAACATTTACAAATCAAGATTGGCAGAAAGTTGTACGGCATCTGTCTTCGATTTTGTCTATTCATGAATATGACGCACAAAGTGAAATTGAACTTGCGTTCATGAAAATCGGAAAGGGTACTGCCTTTTCGTCAAACTGAAAAAATGGCCGCATCACTCTTGTAACTGCGCATGCGTACTCTCCCCATACTCGCATACATTTGATGTTTTTAGATGCTGTATCTGCTCAAATAACATCAATCATGATATAATAAATCATTATATACTAAAATTCGCAAATTTGCAGACCTTCCAATGAAATATTACCAGTTTTTTTTTTGCGACAGAATACGTTATTGCAATATGCAAATTTGGCTACTCATCTTAGTCAAATATTTGTTAAGAAACTTTAAAGACTCTAAGTTATAAAATAACAAGCCATGAATGGCACAGTCCCTGTTGGTTATCAAATTTAAGATAAATAGTAAAATTTGTTTATAGTAATATGGCTGGAATATAACCATGTCAGGAATAGGATTTTTTAACATTAAAATGATTGACATTTGGATCTGATTGTCAAACAAGTACTTGTCCATATTGAGAGATATTGCTCTGGAACAGCATTCAAAATCAGCCATTTTGAATAAGGAGGAACCCGTAATGTCTAATGTACGTACCAAGTTTGAACGAAATCCATCCATAAATGCCAGAAATGCTTGATATTTGATGATTTGTTAGCACAAAAATGACTACCATTCGGCCATTTTGAATAGAATCGTCAAACCAATATATCTGTATATCTATGACATGATGTATAATGAATATTTAAAATTTGAAAATAATCAGTCAAAACAAGTCTGAGATATGGAAGCCTAGAAGCCCATTCATTAAAACAAAATGGCCGCCAGACAGCCATTTTGAATCCGACCTGAAAAATAAATGATGTGCATTAGGAACCTGTAATGTCTAATTAATATATGTACCAAATTTGAACGAAATCCATCCATAAATGCCAGAAATGCTTGATATTTGATAATTTTTTAGCACAAAAATGGCCACCATTTGGCCATTTTGAATAGAATCGTCAAACCAATGTATCTGTCTATCTATGACATGATGTATAATGAATATTTAAAATTTGAACATAATCAGTGAAAGCAAGTCAGAGATATGGCACGAGAACCACATTCATTAAAACAAAATGGCCGCCAGTCGGCCATTTTGAATCTTATCTAAAAAACAAAATTATTTGCATCAAGGTCCCATAATGTCTAATGTACATACCAAGTTTGAACAAAATCCATCTGTAAATAGCTGAGAAAGCTGGATTTTTAGATTTTTTAACACAAAATGGCCGCCATTCGGCATCTTGATCGAATCGTAAAACAATGACGTGCATATGTACAATATCATGTATGATGTATGTGTGAAGTTTGATTGTGATTGGTCCAGGCATTTCTAAGATACAGGTCCGGAAGCACGCACACACACACACACACGCACGCACGCACGCACGCACACACACAAGCACACACGCACACACGGAGGTCAAAACATAAGTCCCTGTTTTGGGAATGCGTCCGAACGGGGACTAAAAACTATCACTGAAACTCATATAAAAGTTCCCATGATGCATAGCAATTTAAGCAACAAAGCAATCACATGACTACTGTGAACCAATCATGTCAAATATTTTTAAAATTTGAATAGCAAAGCTGAAATATGTATAAATTAACTCTACCTTGCCACGTTCTATTTCCTTTGTTGTCATAACAAGTACTCTTGAATCTTCTTGCCATATCATCCTCCAGAGATCATTGACAGTTTGTGGCAGGCACCCTTGTGTTGCAATATACATTGGTTGTGTCTCACTGTTGTCACCTTCAGGATCAAACTACATAAAAAAAATTCAAAAATACAGTTATTGAAATTTTACCTGAATTTGAATGAATTACATGTATCAACTAAAATAGTTTTAGGAGTAAAAATATTGATCAATTTAAACATAAAAATTATTTGCAAGATCTAATACTAGACAACCACTAATATTTAAAAATGCAAGACTAATGACAAAATAGTTCAAAACCTATTTGTTCTGACCAAGGAACGGATACATGTATGCCAGACAGAGATTGCATGCTTTGATGATTCAAGAACTGGGCCAGTAGGATGTTATAACCAACTTACAAATGTTAGTTTAAATTCATTATGATGTCATAATACTGTTGAAAAAAATCACTGAAATATATCCCACAATTCACTTGAATTCAGATGGAATATTTCACATAATAATCCAATCTTAACATTAACATACGTTAGGTTTATAAGCACTCAACTGTAATTATTTCAAGTTACGAAAGTCACAAGAAAGATATAAAAGACAAAGATTTGCACTGTCTATAACACACGCCAACAGTATTAAGAGGAATTACATGAAAATGGGAAGTTTACATAATTAAATCAGATTCCACCTCTAAATGGATTACACGATGAGAAGATTTGAATGAGTTGCTTTTATTACATGCACAATAGCTACAGGGTGATAAATGTAAATATCACATGTACACCACGACACGCTATTACACGGTAGCTTCCATAGACTGCGTATGACTTCAAAGCAGAAATGCAGATCTGAAATGGCAGAAATGGCTGCTATCTTGAACTGGATTGGATTGTGAAACAAATGCATATGTGACATGAATATTAGAGTGAATAAACCAAGAACTCATGATAGCAAGAAAAACCCACTGAGTCACATGACAGCAAGAAAGACCCATCAAGTCACGTGACAGCAATAAAGCACCATTGAGTCACATGACAGCAAGAAAGCACCATTGAGCCACATGACAGCAAGAAAGCACCATAGAGTCACATGACAGCAAGAAAGACCCATCAAGTCACGTGACAGCAAGAAAGACCCATCAAGTCACATGATAGCAAGAAAGACCCATCAAGTCACATGACAGCAAGAAAGCACCATTGAGTCACATGACAGCAAGAAAGACCCATCAAGTCACCTGACAGCAAGAAAGCACCATTGAGTCACATGACAGCAAGAGAGCACCATTGAGTCACATGACAGCAAGAGAGCACCATTGAGTCACATGACAGCAAGAAAGACCCATCGAGTCACATGACAGCAAGAAAGACCCAGCAAGTCACATGATAGAAAAAAAAACATCAAGTCATATGACAGCAAGAAAGATCCATCAAGTCACGTGACAGCATTAAAGACCCATCAAGTCACGTGACAGCATTAAAGACCCATCAAGTCACGTGACAGCAAGAGAGCACCATTGAGTCACATGACAGCAAGAAAGACCCATCGAGTCACATGACAGCAAGAAAGCACCATTGAGTCACATGACAGCAAGAGGGAACCATTGAGTCACATGACAGCAAGAAAGACCCATCAAGTCACATGACGGCAAGAAAGACCCAGCAAGTCACATGATAGAAAAAAAAACATCAAGTCATGACAGCAAGAAAGACCCATCAAGTCACGTGACAGCATTAAAGAACCATCAAGTCACGTGACAGCAAGAAAGCACCATTGAGTCACATGACAGCAAGAGAGCACCATTGAGTCACATGACAGCAAGAAAGACCCATCAAGTCACATGACAGCAAGAAAGCACCATTGAGTCACATGACAGCAAGAGAGCACCATTGAGTCACATGACAGCAAGAAAGACCCATCAAGTCACATGACAGCAAGAAAGACCCAGCAAGTCACATGATAGAAAAAAAAACATCAAGTCATGACAGCAAGAAAGACCCATCAAGTCACGTGACAGTATTAAAGACCCATCAAGTCACGCGACAGCAAGAAAGACCCATCAAGTCACACGACAGCAAGAAAGACCCATCGAGTCACATGACAGCAAGAAAGACCCATCAAGTCACACGACAGCAAGAAAGACCCATCGAGTCACATGACAGCAAGAAAGACTCATTGAGTCACATGACAGCAAGAAAGACCCATCAAGTCACATGACAGCAAGAAAGACCCACCAAGTCACATGACAGCAAGAAAGACCCACCAAGTCACATGACAGCAAGAAAGAACCCATCAAGTCACATGACAGCAAGAAAGGACCCATCAAGTCACATGACAGCAAGAAAGACCCATCATCAAGTCACATGACAGCAAGAAAGACCCATCAAGTCACATGACAGCAAGACCCATCAAATCACCTGACAGCAAGAAAGACCCATTAAGTCACCTGACAGCAAGAAAGACCCATCAAATCACGTGACAGCAAGAAAGCAACATTGAGTCACCTGACAGCAAGAAAGCACCATTGAGTCACATGACCGCAAGAAAGAACCATCGAGTCACATGACCGCCAGAAAGAACCATTGGGTCACATGACAGAGAGAAAGAACCATTGGGTCACATGACAGATAGAAAGAACCATCGAGTCACATGACAGCAAGAAAGAACCAGAGTCACATGACAGCAAGACCAACTGAGTCATATGACAGCAAGTGTGAGACAATTCAGAATTTATCTGTTAGAAGAATTGAAAATCAGTGACAGCTGAGTTAATTAAAATGAATTGAAGAATGATTGATTGGAAAAGCAAACAATTCTATCAGCATATTTTATTGACAACAAAATACTGAAAATACATACAACAATGGTAATATGCGAATAGAAAACCACAAAACAGTGCATAAGCCATTTAAAATATCAATACGACTTGCCAATACACTTTTATTCAGTCATGTCATGCAAGTTAATTGTCGTTGTCATGGTAATAATCAACTGCATGAAATACACTTTGTATTTAGAGTGCATTCAAATTATTTATCTACTCATGGATCATTTTATTCAGAAAAATTTAGGAGTTAGACACGTCTATCCTTAATAAATTTATTATGTTAAGATAGTAGTGAGTTTTACAAAGATTAATTGTGAAGGGTATGTACATAGAAATTAAAATCAAAAGGTAACTTGAATCATAAAAATCATTGATTTCACAAAAAACTGAAAAAGAACATGCACTTGATCTTAAGAAAAATGTGGTGTCATTTTCTCAGAATCAATACTACTATAAATGTCACAAAATGGAAAACAGATTCAGATTATTTTACAAAAATCAATGTTTGGATCAATACCGGCAATATCATTGACAACATGTAGGTAATGGTGTCCTACATGGGAAAACACCGGTGACAATACGACCTAGACGGAATACAATAGTAATTCAAATAATTCATCTGTGTCATATTCCATTCATTTTCCATGTGATACATGTAAAATTTAAATGAAAACAACTGTGGTACACCAAAGTCAACTTTTGTGTTATTTCACAAAATAAACCAGACTGATATTTTTGATATTTAAAACATATCCAGACATGTAACAGTAGAAAAATGATTAGTAATATTTTGTCATTTATAGCATTAAACATATGAACAGCCACCAATGATGAACCATTTTGAAATGTCACAAAAAAACTTTCTAATGCATATTTTATTACTTTAATATTTAAAGAGTTTAATAGTACTTACAGTAGGTCTAATGTAATTGGCATTAATATATGATTCACTACCTTCACCATCTTTCAATGGAACTCTGGTGTGGTCAACTGAAATCAAATGAGCAATTAATAAAGGGATTATTGTTCTCACTAACTTATAACAAAGCAACAAGGAGAAAGAAATACAGATGGGAAGATGATACACATCATCCTGGTACTTTTAGAGGATGGGGCCTTAAAGGTCACACATCCTGGTACTTTTAGAGGATGGAGCCTTAAAGTTCACACATCCTGGTACTTTTAGAGGATGGAGCCTTAAAGTTCACACATCCTGGTACTTTTAGAGGATGAAGCCTTAAAAGTCACACATCCTGGTACTTTTGGAGGATGAAGGCAAATTCTTTATCAATGAAAACTTAGTTGATTCTATTTATTCTAGTCATTCACTGCAACTTGTATCAGTCCATCAGGTATTGATATAGAGCAAATCCAAATTACAAAAATTGCCTTTTTCATTATACAGTACAGAAGTACAGAAGATATAATAGTAGAGAAGCAAATAATACAAATGTTGTTAAAGATAGCGGCATAAAGAAAATTGTCACTGCAGCTCAGTGAATACTGAATAGGAAGCACACAGATTACTGCTAAACGATTGAATTAAAAAAAAATTAATAAAAAATGAAATAAAATGAAGATTTGAATGCTATGAAAATATGGAAAAAAAATGAAGTGGCTTTATTTTGTGGAAGGTGACACATATTGATGTTCTAAGGTTAAGATAACTATGATTATACTGGCATTTAATGAGTTAAAAATCAACTAGACAAGATTTGTGGATAATAATGACAGAATAATATGCGATATAGAATACTGTCTATTTTCACTCCTTTAGGCAGAACAGTTTGAGCAAAATACAGTAAAGATGTAACAATACAGTGTGATCAATAGAAACCATCAATAAATCAGACAGATGGCTTTTTTCCCTCCACTACAATGAAATACTGTTATATGTTCTTGTGGCCGTGATTAAATTGTTTTCCTGTAATGATTTCACGGAACATAAAATCAAAGTTTGTTTGTCATCACTGTGAGCATTACCTAGCAAATACTATAGCTTGATGACTCTTAGCTAATTTTAGCAAAAGTAAATCAAAGAAACTTTAGACCACATGTGTGAAGAGATTTGTAGAAATCTGACAAGTGGTTCTTGAATTATCAGTGGAACATACATACATACATGTAACATACATACATAGGTAGGTTAGTATACAGTATATAGTATTATACAATTTGCATATAATTTGCATGTAATTAGCATATAAATCACAAACATTTCAAGAGGGAATTCTTAGCACTTTATATTATACCAACCTCAAAGTACAAGTTTTATATTGAGGTTCTTGAAAAAAAATATTATCAACTTTGAATTACCTAACAGAAGACAGATAAATAGTGAGACATCTGTTCACAGTAAACAAAAGAGGGCGCTGAAGATAAATAGAGGGCGCTACAAATTAAAAAAGGGCACAAATCAATTATTGAGGGGCGCTGCACCCCTCTTAAACCCCTCATGGAGAACACTAGTATAGTAAACTACCACCTTATTATAATTTTAAGCTATGCAAACTTAAAACATAAAATCTCAATTTGGAAGGCCCTGGATTGGTTTGATTAATACATGTGGATTCACTTGTACAAATGTATTTAATGGAATGGTTCTAATTTTTATGGAGATACAACACACACACAGAGGCTAAGTGCTAAGACTCCCAATTGTGTGCTTCACACACTGGAGTTAAAAACTATTACATGTACAAATCAAATTACAAGCTTGACAGCTAAAAAAGATAACCGTTTCTTTACAGTATATCAAGCACAGCATGTACTTTGTATAGAAAAAATAAGTTCATAATTTGCACAATTCGTATTCATAACTAAATTTATCCATGATCACAGAATTCACTGTGTGTACTAAAATGTTTATGGATCACACAAAATTTGGTTCCAGGACAATATGATAAAGCTTTCTGATATAGTGACCCTTTAAAATATTTTATGCTCAGTTTGTAAAAATGATTGCTATGGACACATTCTGTGTGAGTGGGACTCACAAAGATTCTATGCATTAAAACATACTATGTAATTTTAGGGTTTGTGATACATTGAACTATAGAGGGCGACATACAGCAAACTTAGAATCTACTATTGTAGTACGATTAAATTCCTTTTAATAACTGTGGTTTGCATCACAATGTTCCAAAAAAACTAGTGTGTCTAGGTGTGGTTTGTAATAGTGCAATTTCAATAGGGGTCGACCCCTACCCTTGGTGAGTGTGCCACAGACTCAATGGGAAGGTCAAGTCCACTGGCCGAGATTCATTCACTAACGAATGCGACTTTGGGGGAACCTTGGTTAAGGTCCGATGGTGCTTGTGTTAGACCGAGCCTGGTTGATGCCAGGATAGCGCATTAAATTGCCATTCCATAGGAAGATGGCCGCATTTTTGCATTTTGTTTTAAGCATTTTTGTAATAAATAAATTACCTTTGAATAGTGAAAGTTGACAAGGAACTCCTTACTTGTTACCAAAGTGAAATTCATTGCTATGAACCAAACTAATTGCAATGATTCTAACATAATAGGAGAACAGTATGATTTTTGACGTATTACAAATCCAATAAAAGTGTCAACTGGTTTAGTTTGGTGCATGAATCATAGCACATGTTTTGTGTTATAACATTTCACTCTGGAAACACACTGAAGCTGATTCACATTGCGTTCATTGTAAGGTTTACATGAAAATATCAGGGAAGTATAAGTGTACTTAGTAATAAGGAAGTTTGTAATGCAGTGGTTAGAATTTAAACAGTGATACGACAGTTAGTAATTAAGATGTAGTTAATAATATGAAGTTATTACAAGAATACCTCAAAAGTATGCACGAAGACAGTACAGCTGGAGTATCGACTGACACGCAGCAGAGGTTGATGTGCGGCGTACTGAGGTATTCTCGTAATAACCTTATTATTATACATCTTTTCCTTCCAAGAATACATCATGGGAATGCCGAGATCCAAAAAGTTTAGAACAGAATCAGTGAACTCTGATGGCAGCCATGTTTGTTTTTATTATTAAAGAACGCTTACGCGCGTAATCATTCCATATTTGAAATTCATATTTCCTTATATGGTAGGATGAAAATACACTGTAAAATACCGCAAAATTACGGCATGCTGTAACTTATGGCATTACGGTGACAGATGTATAATAATAATGATATACTGTGAGCGATGAACCAATCCAACCAGCAGTATTGCTATATAGATCAGCTTACCAAAATAAACTGTTACATTTGAACTATCAATATTACTGTTTTGTTTTACTCTTTATAACAATGAGCTATATTGCAATATACATTATAAAAGAATGATGGTCAAACATGAAATATGGATTGTATGGCACAATGTCAGCAAAGACAACAATGACAGAATTAGTGCCTAAACATTTGCTAATAACAAATAATATTAACTTACAGGTAAAATGTTCTTGTACCGATTTTTTGTCTTGTTTTCTGGTT